TGGGTTTCCCCGAACCCAGCAAGGCTGGGTTCCGACGAACCCTGCTGGGTCTCGTCGAACCCAGCCTTGCTGGGTTTACCCGAACCCAGCTATTGGGTTCGACGAGACCCCAGCTGGGTTCCGATTTGCTGTTTCGATGCTGAATTCATGTTTTTTCATTTTTCTTTGGATTTTCATTTCTAGTTGTTAATAAATTTGAGAGTTGATTTACAATTTAATTGTTTTTTTGTTGGAGTTTGATTGATATTGTTTATTTTGTTTATTGAATTGTTAATTTGATTTGATAAGATTTACTAAGTTTGAGGCTTGAATGAAACCAGTAACTGGGTTCAATTTCTCAAGGTAGAGGAGTGGAGATGAGAGAGTATTTAGAGAGGAAGAAGAAATGGGTTAAGATTGATTGTGCAGATGGAGTGGAGGTTAATTTTGCAGAGAGGGAAGATGAGCAAGGAAGATCAGGTTAATTTTGCAGAGAGGGAAGATGAAAAGGAAGATAACATGTCGTCAAAAAAAGTCCAAATCAGCGCCTTTTAAGTTGTTTTTGCCATGTCATCCAAAAAAATATAAAAAATGCCATGTGGCCAAATTAACGGCGAAAATTGACAGAAGGACTAACGGAGTGCATTTCGTATAGTTAAGGGATCAAAAAAGTGCAAAAAATTGTTGAAGGACCAAAAATGTGCAACTCACTAAAGTTGAGGGACCAAATTTAGCATTTAACCACAAAATAATTGCTGGAGAGGTCCAGAACTCGCAACTCGGGAAAAGGTGGACCTTCTTTGGTGCTATGCACGAAACCGTGAAACTTGTTGGCCCTTAAGACAAGAACTTGAAGCTGTAGTAGAGATTCCAACCACTGAGGGAATGTATCACTTATGTTGTTGTTGCCAACGTCTAGAACCTGTAAAATGCGACAATTCACCAAAGACCTAGGTAATAAGCCATTCATTTGATTTCCATGCAAGTTGAGATTTATTAATCCACAGCCCTCTGGAAACCCAAATGGTATATTTCCATCAAAATTATTGCCCTGCAAATTCAACACTGAGAGAAACTTAGGAAGACAATTTGGAATCTTCCCGCTTAAATTGTTATGAGAGAGGTCAAGAATCATGAGATCATTTTCACATATCCATTTAAGAATATTGCCATGAATGCTATTTTTGGATAGCACTAGGCTTTGTAGACCATTTGAATGTCTTATGAAATTGGGGAATTCACTCAAGTTACAAGAAGAAAAGGAAACATCAATTAGTTTGGGTAATGTGAAGTTGGCATTGACATTCATTCTCAAGGACAGATTATTGTCTGAAAGAAAGATGGTTTCCAAATTTTGAAGCACCGAGAACATGTCCAGTTCTACTAAACCAGTAAAAAGATTTGATGATAAACCAAGATAATAAAGATTTACTAAATTAGCAATTGAGTTAGGAATTGAGCCCTGGAGTTTATTGTTTGACAAATCTAGGTGTGTGAGTGAGTTTTGCTGGAATTGAATTATTTGACCTTGAAATTGGTTATGATTGAGACGCAAGGACTCTAACGAAGGTAGGGTGAAAATCCAAGGTGGCAACGTGCCATTAAGTAAGTTATAAGATAAGTCTAGATACCTTAGTTTGGAAAACCTAATAGCATGAAAAGGAATGGAACCAGAAAACTGATTATTGGAAAGGTAAAGAGAGGTAAGTTGGGTGAGGTTTGCAAGTGATGATGGGATTTGTCCGCTAAGATTGTTAGAATAGAGGTGTAGACCAGTAAGTTGCCTTAAGTTACCTATGGAAGCTGGAATGGGACCAGAAAACTAATTACTGGGAAGGTGAGGAAAGGTAAGTTGCCTCAAGTTACCTATGGAAGCTAGAATGGGACCAGAAAACTGATTACTGGAAAGTTCAAGAGAGGTAAGTTCAGATAAGTTCCCTATGGAAGTTGGAATGGAACCTTCCAAGTTGCAGTGAAAAAGACTCAGAGACTGTAATGACTTTAGATCTCCTATAGACTCTGGCAATCGCCTTCCGCAATCCATATCCTCTAAATACAACTGTTGGAGAGGACTGCTCCAATTGGAACTTGGAAGATCAATAGTGAGGTTTCGCTTTCCTAAAGGTCCACTTAAATAAAAAATTTTGAGATTTGGAAAGCGAAAAATACTGTTTGGAAAGTTTCCTCTTAACTGACAATAACGAAGATTAAGAGTAGTCAAAGAAGAAGAGAGATTCATGAAGAAACGAGGATTAACAGATGCCATGTTCACTCCACGAAACTCAAGTTCTCTCACCTCACTCAAATTCTGAACAAGATTTCTCAAGGTAGTTGTTTCAAGGATCAAATTACCAGTAGACGAAAAGACCATAGTATTAGACTCACAACTGAACAAGTTAGAGAGATAGAGAGAAACTAACTTTGAGAGGTGAGCAATTTCTGCTGGAACTTGGCCCGAAAATTGAGAAGAAGAGATATCAAGATGCTTTAGTCTAGTAAACTGGCTGATTTCTGGTGGAATCTTGGAAAGCCTAAAATTATTGAAGGCAAGATTGAGGCCCTGCAGGTTTTTGACGAGAAAAAGACTGCTGTTCGAAGGAAAGGTGCCATAAAGGCAATCGAAGCTGAGATCAAGGGCAATTACATGACCTGTGACATTATCACAACTAATGACCATTTTTTAATAAAAAAATAATAAAAAATTACATCATTATTTGTACAAATCTCTTAAAAGAAGGGTTCGAATTTGTACAATACTTGCCACAAGCTGATCTAAAAATTGATGACTTGTTTTCCACATATTTTGCATACAGCCAAAAGTAATTAGGAATATTCTTGTTAGGAAAAAGTGTTATATTTTTACAGAATAAATTGTATTAAATTACATAATTATAATCATTAAATAAAATAATATCTTTTAATATTAGAGTTCTACCC